ATAGAGAGAACATACATTACACTAGTACATACAATACATATACAAGAACATTACGACAGAAATGTGAGCCACGTAACGGGGCACGGCATCACCTGTCATGCTTCGTTTTGTATCCAGAGTCTCCTAGAAGGAGAGCGTTGAATTTGTGTATAGATCTATACTGGATTGACTATCCTACACCTTGATGCTCGCTACAGTGGGACTTGCAAGTCTACGGGTGCCAAATGTCATTTCTTCCGACGTCTTTCATCGTCGTGTTTTAGTCGGTAGTATGGTACAGGCATATCACATGTTACTTTTAATAACAATTGGTTTAAGGAAATTAGTACAACAGTAGTTACTATAATACAACACTACAGTACTTTATTATTTTCCCATTGCATTCACATTGTGATCTTTTCACATAAAAGATAATGTAAAACTATATTTTTGGTTAATGATAGTCATACTTGGGAAAATACACACTTTTACAAGAAACAAACATACATTTCATTTGATGCCTTGGTAGAAGGCTACGTTTAGTAAAAAATATAGGATTTTCTAGGAGATACCAACATTCACAAACATTTACAAACTTATACATCAAGTACTTAAAGACAATTTCATACAAACAATGACACTAAATGTTTATGAACTCACCAGCTTTAAAGCTGATAAACTCTTTCAAAATAACTTGTATTCTCAGGTCATCAGTAGACAGGTACCGATGCCAGGTTTTGAGAAGATGGAGCTCGTTCAAGACTCATCTCTTATTTTTTAATTACATTTTTGGTGTCTTATAAACTTCACAGAACACACTTGTATGAAATTATATTATTAATGCAATGGATGATGTTGTTGCTTGTTTACTACTATGCATTGTTGTGATACTGTACATGACGTCCTCCACCCCCGAATGATTCTGCCGTTCCGGTTTTGGGGTGTGACATGCTGCCACGACGTGGAGGCTGGTCTGGTCGCGATTGTTTTGTCATGGAGCTTCCACAACGTGGCTAGTGGGTGGCCACAACGTGGTGGATAGCTGTTGAATTTTTGACCAAGTTTTACTTTCGGTCAACTTGAGGGTTTTGGGTTGTAGATTAAGGATTCAGTCCCTGTCTGTTGTATAGGTGACTCGTAGTTTTAGTTCTTGGATTCTTGTGAGTTGTGTTGTTTACCTGCTAGACTACGAGATGAGTTTTCTCATTATACTTTGTGTTGCAGTATGTATCCTTATGTGTAGCATGTTGGTATGATGTATTGATATGTTTTATTGGTAGATATGTTATAATTACCTATGTTTTTCTCATTATTGTTTATCTATTTTCATATGTCGACATATTGTGGTTAGGTTGAGGCGGTTCTGTTTTGTGTTGTAGTCCAAGATACACGGGCTTAATGGATTAAGGCTTAATCCATTAAGTTGTATAAAGGCATTTCCCACGGCATGACATCTTACTCACCATGTTGTGGAGAAGAGTTCTTCGTGATGGATTGTTTGGGTTGTTGCCACGATGTGACGGATGGTCTGGTTGCGGCTGTTTTGTCATGGAGCTGTCACGAGGTGGTGCTAGTTGTTGAATTTTTGACCAAGTTTGACTTTAGGTCAACTTGAGGGTTTTGGTTTGTAGATTATGGATTCGGTCCCTGTATGTTGTATAGGTGACTCGTAGTACCAGTTCTTGGATTCTTGTGAGCTGTGTTGTTTACATGTTAGACTGTGAGATGAGTTTTCTCATTATACTTTGTGTTGTAGTATGTATCCTTGTGTGTAGGATGTTGGTATGTTGTGGTGATTTGTTTGATTGGTAGATCTGTTATGATTACATGTGCTTTGCTCATTATTGTTTATCTGTTTTCAAATGCTGACATACTGTGGTTGGGTTGAGGTGGTCCTGTTTTGTGTTGTAGGCCAAGATACCCGAGCGGTCCAGGTGTACTATAGGCCTTGCGAGACGGTTCAGTCAGCCTGTAAGCCCAATGGAGCGGTCCAGGTGTAGTATAGGCCTTGCGAGGCAGTCCAATCAAACTGTAGGCTCATGTGTGCATGAATTGTATGTGTATTGTGGTGTGGTATTTCGGGGGAACTCACTAATATTTTCCTTACAGTTGTTGATTTAAATGTATCAGGTACTTCAAATGATCGAAGAAAGGCGAATGTGTGATTGTACACATCATCCAATATTTCTATGTTTTGAGAGATACTAAGATATAATTATTTTGATTTTGACGTGGTTGTAAAACAATGTTTTGGTGACATAGAGTTTCTATGAAAATGCATTTTAAAAATAAAAAATTTACCATGGTTTTTGGGACGTTACACATCTTTCGTCTCTTGTACATAATCTACATTTTTCACTTTCTTTTATTATGTGATACTTCTATAATTTACAATTTTCCCCCTCAACTTTGTATTTCGCCATTTGATCTACTTTAATAAATTCCCTTTACACATTGATAATATTTTGTTCATGTTACATTAGGTCATCGAGTCAACCACAACTAGCAATTATCAGTACAACATATTCATTGCCATTATGTATACATGGATCTAAGTGCATTTTCATTGTCAATAAACCAAGTAAACTACATTACCATACATGTATCAAAGAACAATTTCTTAAATTTGTTTTTCAGTATACATCATTATAATAGAAAATAATAATGGAAATACAATGTCTTAAAAGGAAAAAAATAGATATATGATCTATATCTATCTGTTAACCAAATAATAATCAAGATTAGATTTTCAATGGTAAGTATAATGCTAAAATTGGTTTGATTTTTAAAATAATGTGTCTTACAAAGAAAAAGATAAAAATACAATGTTTTAATAGGAGATAGATATAGTATATGTATAATTTGTAACCTAATTGAAGTTAAGCTTTTTAATATACACGTCTTATTAAAAACTTATTTCTAAAATCAATATTTGTGATCCAACGTAACATGCGGCTATCTACTAATTATTTCTAAAACACTCTTTGTAAGGCATAAATTAGTAGTGGTGATGGTGATGTGGTCCACGTAGGCTCTACCTCAACACATGCTTAACTTACAATGTTAAAGAAGTGGTGTTCATTCTTTGTCATTTAGACACGTCCAATTGAGAGAGAGAGAGAGAGAGAGAGAGAGAGAGAGAGAGAGAGAGAGAGAGAGAGAGAGAGAGAGAGAGAGATGATGATGATGATGATGATGATGGCGAACCTCTTGGTTTTTTTGGCATGTCTCCCCACGAGGGAGATGTCCTATTTCCATGCCATCCACCACATAGGATGCCAAACACCCCCACTACACTTGGCCTAAACCAAATTATCCTCACTTTTTAAATTAAAAAAAATCGAAACATGATATTTTATTCCTAAATCACATTGTTGTCTTAAACATTGATTTGAAACAACAATCTATGTCCATGACACCTTTCCCACCAACCCCTAACCATTAGGCTTTTACATGTTGATGTTCAGGCCTTCTTCTGGAGTAGTCAACACGAGAGATAAATATGGTACATGCCATGTCATCGACACTTCATCGCAATATATAACCACATTAGGTTGGTATATCCACCATTATCCACCACTCCACATCATTTATTTTTTTTGTTTAAAATTAAATCAAATATATAATAAAAATGATAGATTTTTTTTAAATTAGTTTTTCATTCAATTAAATTTAAAAAATATATTGATTAAAATTCAAAAAGGTAACCGAAAATTAAAAAGAAGATGAAAATTAAAAAAAGAAAAAAAAAACTAACATAAAAATCTCAAAAATGTCAAACATAGAAAAAAAGTAATCAGTATTCCAATATCTCACTCGGACAAATTTTTTCTTGGCAAAAAATATCTCCAAATCTTCACCATCGTAGTTTCATTTTCAGAACCTCGAAATCGGCAATACCTTGTAATGGCGTTTGCTTCACGACAAATTTTTTTCCATCCGAATCATCATCGCACCCTTGTTCTCTTGTACTTGGATATATCGATCAAATTTTACTCCAAAATGATCAGTAACGCTAGAACATGAACCAGAAGCTGCTTTCTTTGCTTTATTTCTTCCTATCGGTCGATATAGAGGTTGTTCATTTTCAACATCCACCGGCTCATCATTGATGTTGATACGTGTTCGGTCATCCGATTGTTGTGAAAATATATTAGAAAATTTTTAAAAAATATAAGTTTTTTGCCGTTCAGCGATTAGTCAAAGGTCAAGAGAGTCAAATCCACCGCTCGGTTTCCTGTTTGTCGTTATTGTTCGTTGTCTACACCACAAAACACCACCACTATGAGGCCATGAGGTATGGACTTCATTTCACGCATAGAAATCCTATGTGGAGGAGATGTTCACTAGGATGGGTGTAATGGTGGTGTGGATTGAAGCTAGTTAGGGGTTCTCACATCCAATCAAAATCATTTACCTCTATCTCTCTCTTCTGTTTCTCTCTTGTTCACTAGTGAACACCATCCCCGACCTATATTGAATGCATTGTGAACAAGTCTTGATGATGATGTGGAGGGATGTTTACCCGTTAGCATACCCGATGGCCTAATGGATCACAAACCCATCAGGGTGGTGTTCACGATCATGGTCGTTGCCACGTACACCATGAATGCCCTCCGTGATCGGTACTCCAATCCGTCTTAAAAACAATAAAAAGTGAAAAACAACTAATTAGACTTTGGTCCAAAGTCGTATTAGTCAAGTCTTTATGCATGACTCTTTGGAGATGTGTGAGACGAATTTCGTTCTGAAAACTGGAGAGGCACACGTTTACCGAGAACCTTTTCTATGTTAGTAGTTTTGAATAACGTAGAGTCGTGAACTAGTAAGGCGACTGTTAGATTCTTGTGCCATAAAACTAAATTGCAAATTTAGACTCTTTCTGAATATAAAAGAATCCAGTTTGAAGGGATGCCATATATTCAAGAATCAAGCCTTAGGCTACAACACCATCATATTTATTTCTTATTTTGATTTGTATAAACTCCTCCCCCCTCCCGTTTCATTATTTTCTTGTTCAAATGTCTCATATATCTAATGGAGCTGCCATTGGCATCGATCTTGGAACTACTTATTCATGTGCTGGTGTTTGGTTTCACAAAAAAAATCGGGTTGAGATCATACCTAATGAACAAGGAAACAAGATCACTCCATCTTTCATATCATTCAATGATTCAGAGCTCTTGGTAGGCGAGGGTGCAAAAAACCAGATTGCAAGGAATCCTACTAACACAATTTTTGGCAAGTCTTTTTTGTTATTCTTTTTATGTTTTCCTTTAGACTTTATGAAAGAAAGAATATGTGTCACCCTTTTGTTGCCTTTTACATTTGAATTAGCCGATATATGTTCTGATTATCTTGCTAATCTCAATCCTCTAAATCAATTTCAGATGTTAAGCGACTAATTGGAAGTAGGTTTACTGATCCACAAGTGCAAAAAGACATGAAGTCGTGGCCTTTCAAGGTCATTGAAGGACCTTCGGAGAAGCCAACTGTTGTAGTGGAGTTCAATGGTGAAGAGAAGAAATACGCACCAGAAGAATTATCGGCCATGGTTCTGAAGAAGATGAAAGAAGCTGCTGAAGAATTTATCGGGACAGAAGTGACTGATGCTGTAATCACTGTTCCTGCTTATTTCAATAACATGCAACGAGAGGCAACAAAGGAAGCAGGAGTCATTGCAGGACTTAATGTATTGCGTTTGATAAATGAACCTACAGCAGCTGCAATCGCATATGGTGTCGATCATATGGAAGATAAAGATTGGGATAAGGAGAAGAATGTATTGGTGTTTGATTTGGGTGGTGGAACTTTTGATGTGTCACTTCTGAGAGTTGGTAATACAGGTTCCATTGATGTCAAAGCTGTTGGAGGCGACACCCATTTAGGTGGTGAAGATTTTGACATGACACTCGTTAATCATTACATGAATGAATTCAAGAAAAAACACAGTGAAGATATTAGTGGAAACCCTAGAGCATTGGCAAGGTTGAAAGTTGCATGTGAGAAAGCAAAGAGGGATTTGTCCTCAACCACTCTAGCTTCTGTAGTTGATTGTTTGTATAAGGGTATCGACTTTTCTATTAAAATCAGTAGAGCCAAATTCGAGGAACTAAACTCAAGTTTTTTTGAGAAGTGTGTTCATGTAGTGGGTGAATGTTTGAGAGATGGGAAAATGGATGTGAAGGAAGTGGATGAGGTGGTGGTTGTTGGTGGATCAAGTAGGATTCCAAAGGTGCAAAGAATGTTGGAGGATTTTTTCAATAGGAAAGTACTTTGCAAAGACATGAATGGAGATGAAGCTGTTGCATTTGGTGCTGCAATCTTGGCTTCAAAGCTAAGTGGAAATGATAACAACGATGAGGTTAAGCGGGATTTGGTGTTGTTAGATGTCATTCCTCTCTCACTTGGTATAGAAGTCGATGATTATACCTGTGGAAAAGATATAATGAAGGTTATTATTCCGAGGAACACGTGCATACCCACACGCATGAAAGAAATATTTTATTCAGATACAACACAAACATGCATACGAGTGTTTCAGGGTGAGAGTATCAATGTTAATGATAACATATTACTTGGGCAGTTTGACCTTTTTAAACTTACTCTTGGTTCGAATGGGAGGTCACAACTAGAGGTTTGCTTCAGTATAGATGCTAACGGGATTCTTCAAGTCTTTGCAGAGGAAACATCCACAGATAAGAGAAAATCCATTACAATTGCTAAGACCTGAAATTGCTACAACTCAAACCCCAATCACCTTAATTATTCCTGAAAGTGTTGAATCATGGCTAGCATTTTGTAAAAGATATGCTAAGAATCTGCCGAACTTTGTCCAATCACAAACCATGATTGCTCCAAACTATTTATTTTGATCTAAGCTTTCTAATTTACTTTTACTTTTGTTCACTGTCTTTGAAAGTAAGTGTTCTTTGCAAAAGCTTGTTGCTGGTATAGTTTTCCACGATCTTAACAGATAGCCAATTGAATTGTTTGATGTGTTCGCTTTTTATGTATTTAATGTTGCATTGATACTTAACAGACATAACTATCAATTTTCTTCTATTATTTTGGTGTTGTAGCAGTTAGGACTGTTGAATTACGGTTAACAAGCCTTAGTTGATATTGGGTTATTTCCAAAAGACGGAAACTGGAAAACTAACCCAAAAAAAACCCTATTTTTTAAAACTGATTGTGGGGATTTTTATATTTGTAAAAAACCAAGAATTTCATTGGTTTGATTTTATGTCGAAAATGATTCTTAAACTTTTCAAGTACTAGAGCAAGGATTAGGATTTGATGTGAAATTGAAGATCAAACTCCATATCTTGAAAAGATTTTAGTTAATAAGTTAGTAGCTCTTTCTGTCAAAACTAGCTTCTATGGGGAATCTTAAAAATTAGACTACAAAATGAACCGAATCACATTGGGGTTTCATTTCTATCTTCAATCATGTATTATCATGTCAAACTTTACATTGTTACAACACAAAAATCAGTTGAAATACACAAATCAACCCGATATTACAAACTAACCTAACAACAAAATACATAATATTCTTACTGAAGAGAATTATAAAAAAGAATCAACACCACCGATACACCAATTATCACTGGAAACGCAGTCACCAAGTACAATGCTCCGTATCCCTACACCAAACAAAATTCCCATTATTCAAAATGGCAAAATGGTAAAATCACAATAAACCAATAAACCAGACATGATGTCAATATTATCACACAATAATCACGAATGTTTTGATTCGTCCAAAAAAAATAGGACATGGATTCACTCTTGTTTGTAAAAAAGACGACAATGCCCTTTTGATAATTGAAAATAAATAAAAAGGTACCACAGCTGAAGGGACATCACTCTCGTCACTGCCATCTTCTTCTTCAATCTCTGCAGCTGTATCCCAGTCAACGTTAAGCCTCTTTGCAGCTAATTCTGGATCAATCCCAGTGTCTGTAGCCTTTGCATATTTCGATTTCCGTTTCCCCTTTTTTGTTGCTTCAACCTTTTTTCACATTAATTCAGTTTAAAATACTTCGATTGTTCTCAAAATGTGACACAGTATACAAACCCTAGAAGCGAAGCTGCTAAATGTACCTCTAAATTAGGCCATTGAACCATTTCCTCTGCCAGCATTTGAAGGGCAATCTTGTCTCTCGGGATTTTCCCTTCATTCACCTAAAAACAGAAGGACGACTATTGAGATTGATATGTAATTCAATAATAAGTATTTCAAAGGATTCTTATAGTGTGGTTGTTAATGGGACTCTGATTCCAATAACATTTGAACAAGTGATAGAAAAGGACTAACTTCTTCGAGAATAGCAGCCAACTCTTCTCGTGTTGGAGTATCAGCATCGTCGATCCCAAGAAGTCTCTTCCGCTCAACTTCTCGAGGGTCCTCAATCATCACTGTCAACTTCACCTACAATTTCAAATCATAAAATCAATTGGCATAATCCGAAAGTTGAGTTAAAGTTATGTTTTTGAGCTTTCAGTAATTCAAGATCAAGTAAACAGAGGTTATCTTTACCTCACTAAACAGCATGTCTCTGTTTTTCTTCAGGAGCTCCAAAACCTGCGCAATCAGAACAAGGACGAATTTTTAGAAAGCACGCCAACATGGGTTTGGGGAATTTCGAGCAAACGAGTCTAACTCTTTTGATTTGGGAAACATATTCGAGGTCTTGCGGATCTGGGTCTTCTTCAAATTCATCATCTTCTTCTTCATCATCATCATCAGTTGTGGTTGCAGTGGTTGAAGTAGAATTGATATTTGATTCTGCAGGGAAACTCAATTCAGTCTCGATATCTTCCTTGCTAGCACCAACAACCACACGGCTTCTAGTTGTACTTATAGTACGGTGGCGCAGGTACTGTTTACGGTGGTGGGGGGAAGCGATGGAGAGGATGTGGGTGGATTGAGAGATGGAGCAAGTGGAAGTGGTGTAAAGGGGTATTGGGAATTGGGATGGAAGTCTCAACAAAGCCATTTCTAGTTGTAGTTTTTGGGATAAATAATCTTGAAGAAGATTATGTTATGATTGGTGGCATACTTGTGTATTTGCGTTTGCTCTGTATTCTATGAGATTGATTCTATTCGATTGGTTGGTTAGTTCTTCATCATCTTCACAAAATGGGAAACTTCACTCACACCCTCTGGTTTGCGTCAATTGCTGAATTGGGAAGTTGGGATTTTGGAAATTAGAACCCAACCCATAAATTGGAGCCCAAGTTAAAAGCCAAGAACCCAATAACTAGGTGAACTATCTCCACTATCTAGGGATGACCCAATTCACGTCCAGCCCAATTATGTGTAAGGAAATGAAGAATTACATATAGGTAGCATTTGAAAAATCTCATCTAACTCCTTAATATAAAAATGGAGATCATTAGGTAGGCATCTAAATCGGTCCGGAACCAGATAACCAAAAATCGAATAAACCGTAAACTAAAAATCAATAGTTTGACCGAATACCACTAATCGGTTCTTATTCTGGTTCGGTACCGGTTCTACTAAGAAGTGTGCTATCTAATAAGGTCTTTGGAACCGACACTGGACCGGAACCAGAAAACTGGAATTAAATAAGACGTAAACTAAGAACCGAAAATCGGACTGAATACCACTAATCGATTCTGGTTACGATTTCGCTTTGGTTTTTCGGTTAAAAAGTTCATCCCTACTCATAAGTCACTATGAAGAAAAACAATATAGAAAAATTTTAATAAGCACTTTCCATCTCCCCTTTGGCATCGTGTCCATTTTCTTATGTCTCCGGGCTTGTTTGATTTACCTCTTACTAGGTCCAGTAAGAGGTTACCTTTGACTCGGTCCAATAAGAGCGTTTGATATTAACAAATTTATCTTCTTACTTGGTCCAAAATCCTCTTACCAAGTCCTAAACAAACGTTGACAGATAAAATAGAGGGCTTATTCCTTTTATAACCCTAAACATTTCTTACCTCCATCTTTCCTCGTCGAACGAGTTGTAGCATCGCCTTTAGCCGAACCTTCCTAACCATCAGCCTACATCCATTTGCCAACGCCTTCCTCCGCCAATGACTTCTAGAAAAGAATGAGAGATCAACTTTTTGGGGTTCGGGTTATTTGAGTCAGGTTATTCGGGTACTTTATATTTGAAAATGTAACCAATATCTAAAACCGAATTATATTACATGTTAGGACGTGTCGCAACGCCTAAATAAATAAATAATATGAATAAAAATGTTTCTCAAATGCACTAAGGGGTACTACAGGAAAGCAAAATCGAATCCACGGGGACACGTCCTTAAGTCTATGCCTTTCTTACATAAGGTACGCACTAGTCTGATAGAAATTTAAATGGTGGGGGGGGGGGGGGGGGGGGTTAATGATTATTAAAACTAATTTGAATAGAAATTTATAAAAGAAAACGCAATTTAAATACTTGAGAAAAATTTGACTCTCCTAATCATGTACGTAACCTTCAGCCTGGTTATTGAATTGTGTATTGTTTAAACTGATACTAAAAATCATTAATAAGCTCTAATAATTTTCTTTACTAAAGTGTTTAATCAAAATAAATTTTTTGAATTAAACCTTACTTTTTACTGATTTAACTAAACAAACTCTTAATTAATTGAGAAAAACAGCATTAGACACAATGTAAAATTTCCCAGTAAAGTCCAATATTTCTTACAAGTTCGAAGCGTAAAAACTTGTCTGATCAATTTATATTAGATTTAAATCCTAAACATAGAACTAATCTAATATTTTTTACTTTTACTGATTAATAAAGACAATTACAGATCTAAACAAGGAATGACTTAATAACAATTAAAGTGGCCAATAGAAATTGAATCAAATCAAACACTCAATTAAGCATAAAATAATCAAACTAAACAGTAAAGACAACCAAAAATCGTTTTTTTTTTTTTTGGAACGACAAATCTATTCTACTCCTACACTACTCCTAAATCTCCACCTATGTCCATCACGAGACTTGAACCCTCGACCTCAAAGAAGGAGGGAAACACCGGATACCGTTGGCCTAGAAGCCCTTTGTGCCTAATGATTACTTGCACGAAAAGTCGAGTCTTTTTAGAAACTGAAATCTAGGGTTTTTAGTCTTACATGGCTAAAAACGAATTACATAAGATAAAGTTAAGTTTTGAATGATAAATCTTACTAAACTAATGTTACAGACTGGCTCGTGTTCTTCGGATCTTTTTTCTTCACTCAAAGCCTTCATAAAATCATCACAGAGGCGTCTGGAACCAGGTTAGGGTGACATAAGTGTTATAAGGTGTTATTTATACATATAGAGAGTCGCCGGCCCGTTCCACTGTCGTGTTTTTGAGGAACAATATCGTGCTTTAATTCAAATCGCGTCCAAAGCCCATTTACTGAAGTGTGTTGCCATTCCTGACATTTTAAATAAAAACACTATCGTGTTTCTGAAGAAAACACTATCAAATTTTTGGAAATCGATCGTGCCAAGCTCGTGGAAGGCACCCAAATGAAATTTGAAGATTTTCTAACTGTGTGACACAAAAACGATCGTGTTTATGGAGGAAGCACGATCGAATTTTTCTAATTTCTTCCTTAGACTTCAAAATGAGGAAAAACATTTGCAGGGCTCTCACACGAGCATGTTTTATGTATAAGCACGATCGAATTTTTTGAATTTCGAGCGAAACGTTCGTTTTCCATGATCAAAGCAGCTTTCAAGCATTCCTCAA